ATTACATGAAGTAACAAGGAAATTTGCACTGTAGAGTGAGAACACAACACAGAGTATCCCTCTCTCACACACACGCACACACACACATGCACATACACAAAATTGTTAAAGTCATCATGTACAAGGAAAACAAGATACCATGAAAGAAATGTGCCGGATTTTCAATTCTGGTTGAAAGGGTCGTTAGAGAATTACAATTACATTTTTTTTTTCTTGTGTATGTGTCTGGTTCTTTCAAAAATGTTATAATCATTACTTTTATAATAAAAAACACATACTTTGAAACTGTTGACCTATATGAGTTGTACATAGTATTGGCAATGAAGAACAATAAGCTATGAATCGCCTCACTTACTTATTTAGAAATGTAAGCTTGTGATGAATATTTAGATCAAATCCACTCATATTTCACATGTTTTCTGCTGTACTAGGTCAAAATACAGATATTGTAAGACTTCAAATAGAGCTAAGTCTGTTTCTGTAATAAAGCAGGAACCTATCAAATTTTTTTAAAGGCAGAAAGTTTGCTATAAAATGTAGGTCAACGCTTTTCTGTGTATTTTCTCTTTTCTTGTGGCCTTGGTTACACTTCCTTTGTGCCAGACTCCCATAGACACAATTATTCAACAAGACCTGTGGTCTCCGCCCAGCACCAAGCTGACTCTTCCGTTCTTCTTGACTTCTTCCACCTTGCCAGCCAGCTGCTCGTTCGCTTTTCCCACAGACCTTGGATTCTTCACGATTTGAAAGGGACTGTCATTAGGGATGTCAGCAAAGGGCAGGTCCCCATAATCCTTCACATCACACTCTAAAATTAAAGGTTTTGAGTTAGTAAATAAAAAAGTAGGATACAAATCAGTCTGTGTAGGATGATCACAATTGTATGAAATAGGCATATATTCACAAGTATAAGCAAAGGAAAAACCTGAGAGGTCTATAAACACAGGGAAGGTGGAACCCCGATCCGCTTCTGTTTGACAACATGTTACCAGTACCACACACTGGTGCGTGCTGTATACTAGGCTTGAATCTATTCAGTTAGACTAGATACTAAAATATAACAGTGATGGTTTCTGGTTTGGGCTTAATAGGGAATATCACTGTCTTTTTCTCTGTCTGCCTCCCATCTCTGCTTATGTGCTTTTTACCTTTCCATAGTAAGCATGCTTCATTTTGATAACAATTAAATATATTAATAGATATATATATTCTCAGAAAATTTAGAAAGCACTGATGTATTTTCATCTGGGACACACACACACACACACACACACTCACACACACACACACACACACACACACAATATCCATTGAACCTGCCTCATAGTGGTATCATCAGAATTCAATAAGAATATGTGAATATGTGCTTAGCACTGAGCCTAGCACTTTGGAAGCTCAGGAAATAAAGATTTTTGTTATTCTTTTTGGTAAGGAAAAATTACAGGTAACCCCAAATTCCTAAGGACTTGGTGCGCATCCTAAAAGGCCTTGAGAGAGTTTCGTGTATAACTGTGATATGGGATCAGTTCACTGTTCTGAACCAACTGGCCATCATATATAGTATTTGTTACATGTCGGTGAGAATCTGATTCAGTAATGCCTCTGAGAACTTTCACCTGATATAACACGTGACCAAATTATGCTTGTTAGTTAAGGGACAAGTCCATTTATCCAAGCATTCTGTTCTCTACTGCGTGTCTGTATTTTTGTCGTTTTTTTTTTTTTTTTTTTTTAAGATTTACAAGGTATAATTCTCCTTCATTGAAACCCACTCATTTTAAGCGTGCAGATCAATGAGTTTGAACAAATCTAGTCTTGCAACCACCACCACAATCAAGATTTAAAACACTTCCATTCTCCCCCAAATTCCATCCTGCCCCTTTAGAGGTAATTCCTGCCCCCAACCCCAGGAACTGTGGAACTGCTTTCTTTTGGTATGCCTTTGTCTTTCTAGAATTTCATATCAATAGAATCACGCAGTGTGTAGTCTTTCATGTCTTAGCATGCTGTTTTTGAGACCCACCATGTTCTTGCCTGTGTCTGCAGTCCATTCCTTTCTATTTATTTATTTTTATTTATTTATTTAGAGACAGAGTCTCACTCTGTCGCCCAGGCTAAAGTGCAGTGGTGTAATCTCGGCTCACTGCAACCTCTGCCTCCTGGGTTCAAGCAATTCTCTGCCTCAGACTCCTGAGTAGCTGGGACTACAAGCACCCACTACCACGCCCGGCTAATTTTTGTATTTTTAGTAGAGACGGGGTTTCACCATCTTGGCCAGGCTGGTCTTGAATTCCTGACCTCATGATCCACCCACCTCGACCTCCCATAGTGCTGGGATTACAGGCGTGAGCCACGGCGCCCAGCCCATTCCTTTTCATCATTGAGTACTATCTCATTGCACGGACGTGACACTTTTTGTTTAACCATTTACCAGTTGACAAGCATTTTGCTGTTTCCATCTTTTGGTTATTATAAATATTGCGGCCCTCAAACATTCAAGTACAAATCTCTTACCCAAGAGAAATGGAAACATATCCACATAAAGACTTGTACTTGAATGTTTGTAATTATACTTCTCTCCACCTACAATTGCTGGGTCAAAACGTAAATATATGTTTACTTAAGAAACTACCCACCTGTTTTCAAGGTGGCTGTATCATTTGGATTCCTATCAGAAATATATGAGAGTTCTAGTTGCTCCACATCCTAACCAATACTTTATCGGCAACTTGTTTATAAAGATAGCAGAGAATTGAGCCCATGCTTTAAAAATAGACATAATATTGCATTTGCATGCTTATGTATATGTACGTATATATACACACTGTGCAAACACTAGGTGCTGTTATCATCATTATTACTGTTTTATTTTATTTCATTTCACAAATAGGGCTCCTGTTGCTGGTAGCATACTTCCTGCTGCCCCTTGCCTTCCATTTGCTCCTCCACCCGCTCCCCTACCATCCACCCCAACCCCAGTTCTTGCACATGCAAATTCCCTTATACCACAGTTTGGCTGGAAAGAAAATATCTGAGAAATGATGTACATCCAGCGATGCTTCCTGAGCATTCTCCCACGCCATGCTGCTTTTGTAGGATGTGCTTCTAAGGTTATAGCCAGTACCGCAATTCTGCGTAAATATTCCAGACACACTCCACATTCACAGGGGCCTGCTCCTTCCTTCAGGGTGGGGAGGAAATCAGGCTGACCATCTTTTAACTTTAAAATTACCTTGTTCTTTAAGTTTCTCAAGCAGACCAGCCTTTCTCAATACTGCAGGGCCTTCTTCCACCCCTCCTCGTGGCTGAACAATTAAAAAATAAAGTACTTCAGACATTATCATCACCAACAGATGCTCACAGTAAGAACCCTTTTCATTATTTAATCAGTTGAACTGTGGCTATCATTTTTTGAGCTCCTACAGAGCCAGGAATTTACATTATCTCATTTAATCTTCACAGCAAGGTAGACTGAACGACTCTTATGCCAAATAGAAAGACTTAGAATCACAAAGGTTATATGAGTTTCAGACAGGCACACAGCTAATAAGTGGCAGAGCCTATGTTCATATTCAGGTCTTTGGATTCCAAAACCTGCATCCCCTCTTCCCATCAAACCATGTTATCAACAGAGTGAACACACAGTTTGTGCAAAAGCAGTCTGATAGATGAGATCCAATAATGAAAAGGCTTTTGTCTTTTGAGTCCCTCATAAGCTGATAGGAGATATGAGCATTTAACCCTAATTATAATACACAGCTGCTTAAATCAAGATATAAAATGTCATAGTAACAAAAACAGGGTGCTTTTAAGACTATCGGGGATAGAGCGAGTCAGTAAAGGCTACAAGAAATAAATGTTTATGTTGAGTCTTGCAACATGAGTAGGTACTCAAGAAAACAATACAGAGTGATGGAAAAACTCTGCAAACCAAGGGAACAATTTGGGCAAAAGTATCAAAAGACTGTGGCATGAAAGAGACCTACGTGCTTGTCCTCACAGCAGCAAGCCAGAGCTCTTGAGGAGAAAGCAGGCAACAGGCAAAATTATCACCTGGGAGATGAAAACCACAAACAAAGACCAACCCAGTGATTTCAGTGTGGCCTGCTCAAACAGTAGACGGGAAGTTCTACCCTTGCTGCTTTGATACTAGGGAAGCTAACACTCTTCCTCAAAGGAACAAGTCTTCCTCAGCCCCCTGACCAACTAGAGGTCTAAAGACACAGTTCTTTTCTTTATCTTTCTGATTCTAATTTCCAGCAGGGCTTTCAGATGCAGAAAATTATTGCATGTTGTCGGATGAGACAGTGTGCTAACAGACACGTTGTGCTGAGACACAGTGTGCTAAGAGAATCCAATCTTTAGGATTGGGACTGCGGCATCAAAGTAAGCAAATATTTCTTCCTCATTCAAAGGACCAGAAGACTTGCCCTGGGTGCCAGGCAAATCCTTGGTGTCAAATTCCTGTCCCTGGCAGCAAGGGACCCACCCCATCCTCTGTCTGACACATTTTGCTCCTTTACTCCCTTTTTGCTTGACACACCTCCCTCTCCCCAATCAAGTAGACATAATTTCCTCTTCTTTCAACCCCCGTAGGGTACTGCTTGGTTCATGGTTTGCCTTTAGTTTTGTGTCTGTGTCTGTATTTTCCTCGTTGTTAGATTTCAGTCCAGCTCTGTTTACATTTGGGCACTATGTTTTGTAGTGTAGAGCTGACATGTAGTAGACGCTCAGTAATCCTCAGCTTGGTCAAACTCCTTGACTTTTTTCTCTTTCTCCCTTTCAGACTTTAGAATAAATGTCATAGACCCCTTAGTTGACACTGTATTTGCTATAACACAGTTACTAAATTTTCTAGCATTCTTTTTTATTTGTTTCATTCAAATGGCTTCTCATGATTAGTCTTTCCTTTTGCTTGCTGTATCTGCCCACTTTGGAAATTGCTTTGTCAGCTCCACTGACTTTCTAAGCTGGGCCCAATCCCTAACTGGCCACAAGTATAAAGTCCCCTTCAGAGTTGAATCATCTGAAGGGACATCAGTGCAAATCAAGGGCATAGGCATATGAATCAGATTATCCTGTCTGGAATCATGCAATCAAGGCTGTGTGACTTTGAGCACATTACCAAATCTCTCTGAGCCTTTTTTCAACCCAATTGTAAGGTAAATGTAATACCTACCTCATTGTTTGCTCGCTGCCCTGCAAGGGGGTGAGACAGGGAATGAAGCCCTTTCTCAGACTCAACATTTTAGTCATCTGCCCTCTAATCCTTTCCTTTTGCCTGCTTGTCAAACCTGTATCTCCTTTGGGTGAGGACAAATGCTTGTATGTTTGCCATTTTGTCCTTTTTGTTCTATGACTTAGTGTAAAAAAATCTCTCTCTCTTAGTCCTTACAATCATGAGACAATGAACTCCATCGTCACGGCCCTGCTTTAATGTGAGAGGGGTGGTGGAGAGAGGAGACTTGCTTCCCTTTTGTCGGTTTTTAAAATTATATATTTTTTATAACTTGTTCCAGAATAGGTGAGCACATTGTGGATTTTAAAAGGAACACTTCTGTGTCAGCAAAATACCCATGTGTTTGTGAAAGACTTTTGGAGGATTTCCAGGGGAAGAAAAGTAGTATTTACTGACAGTCCAAATGCAGTATGGGTCTCTAACCTCTGGCCTCTCTCAATTTGTTTTGCAGTAAAAAGTCAGAGCACACAACACGGGGTCCAGATCAAGAGGAAGCAAAACGCTGCCCAGATTCTGAGAAACCTGGAGAAAATCAGCCTTCGGAGTTTCAACACACACGTTGTCCTGTTTGATTTTGTTCTTTGTTTTTTATCCTCTTAAGGACAGATACATGTTGAAGTCTATGGTGTTCTGTCATCTCATTCTCTTTACCAGAATAGGTGTGCCCAGGCAGAAAAAAAAGGGTATTCAAATGTTGCTGGCATGTGTGGATTCACAGCTGGTGGCTCTGAGGAAGTCTGGGAGTTCCATAAATCCATTCAAATCCTTTTAGATTTGTCAACCTGCAGTAGGATTTTCTTTCTTTTTCTGTTCTTTTTTCCCCTTCCAAGAGAGGTCCATAAAGGATTCTACCTAGCCCATGAATGAGCAGTTTCATAGAATCATTAAAACCCTAACATGACATGAATTATTCACAAAGTTGCATGAAATAATAATATTTAGGTTATACAAATTATAAGAAGTCTGGAGGTTACCATCAATCTATTAAATTTTTCTAGGTATTAATTACAGATCTAAACAAATGTATTTTCTTAAAATCCTCTCTTCCTCTACATACACACAGTAACATCAAAAGCAACAAGAGCAACTAAACCTAAACACCTAGCTACAATGCAGAAATAGTCCATTTCAATTCAAAGAAAAGCATTTTCTCCTAAAACCTAGGAGGAAACATTCTGTAGGTTCAAATGAATTTGACTTTGGCTGAGATCAGGAGCCACAGAGTAAGTGGGTTTGTGACTATAATTATACAATGTGGGAAAATGGCGAGAGGACTCTAAAATATGCATTTCCAGGCCAGATTGTATCAGAAAACTTAACTAACCAGACAATAACCTCTCACAAATTTTGAAGTCCCAAATTTTCAACAAAATTCCAGGTATTCAAAGAAAGACTTTTTTACTTACCTGTCCCTTTGAGAAAGGAGCTCCGATAATCCCTATGGTTTTGGGCTTGGCACTCATGCTCTGACACTTCTCTTTGCTGCACTTGAACTCTTCAGTTAGTCAACCCTCAATGACAGAGGGCACATCTTTTCTTTCCATTTATACTGGGTTGAATAAACAATATTTATTCTAATGAAGGCAGCTGGCTCCACCCACTAAAACAAAGAATGGTAGAGTCAACAGTCTTGCAAATTCTTCATACGTGGAGTAACCATAATTCCTCTGAGTCTAGGTCTCTAATTAAGTCACAATTATTCACGTTCTTACTTCACACCCTTTTCAAAAAACCAGCCAGATGACATTAATGTTTCCTTAGACAATTGACAAATTTCACAACTACATAAGACATACCATTGTTCTGGCTCAGGGAACTCAGGGCAAGGCACTTTCCTCCTCCAGACCTCTGAAGACCTCCTTATAGAAGAAGGGCCAGGCTTGGCAAGACTGTCTGTCACATCCCTTCCAGCCCTAACATCCTAAGATTTCACATATGAGGGTAAATGGTAAATCTACAAGACACATTTCATAAACTTTTAGGGTACACTATCATAAAGAATATATAACTTCCTTTTTTTGATTATTACTTTAAAAGATTACTTGATTCAGAACTCAGGGATGTTACCATTTTTGAAATATGGTAGACAAAAATATAACTGTTGGAATCATATCATAATCAAAGTATAGAAATCAACATAGCCAACATTGTGTTTTTAATCATGTGTCAGATGCTCTTCTGTTTCATATTACCTTATTTAATATTTATACCAATTTTACATGAAGTCTCATGATTGGTGCCATTATACTGATGAAGAACCTGAAGCTCAGAGAGGTTGCCAACATAGGTTGTAGAAGAGGAGCCGGGGTTCAGTCTTAGGCATTCTGAATCCACTTAACCATTGGGCTTATATTCTAAACTTATAAATCAATCCATAGAGATTTGCCTTCAAATTTCATTGCTAGAATTTTTTCTTAGAAAAATTCACATCCTAAAAGTTCTTCCTACGCCAAACTGAGATTGCCTTCCTGTCATTTGAACCATTTGTCACCACCTGTAATCCAAGTGAAGCACATTATCTCTTGGCTGTCATGTCTTTTTTGGATTTCTATTGTTTAGGTTGAATATCTCCAAATACCTCGCCAGTTTCTTGTGTTACATAGTTGCCACTTTCCTTCAGGTCACCAACTTGGTCACTCTCTTCAAAATATCTTGCTTCCCTCTGCCTTTCCTAAATAGGACATCCAGAACCGAGTTCACATATCCAAATACAGGCAGAGTCATCTGGTCTATCAGACACACATTTGATAACACCTGACTTTTCCAAGTCACCAATAAAAATGTTGAACAAGGCAGCACTTTTATAAACACTCTGTGACATTCCACTGGAAACCTTAACCTAGATTGACATAGCTCCATTAATTAATCATCAGTCGAGGTAAAACTGATCCCTAATTTCCAGCTCAACCACTCCATCCTGTTCACTAGGATATCATAAGAAAATTTTACCAGGTTTCTCAATAAAATCTCACCACACTTTACTACCTTTATCTTCTGCCAGTCTGACTTCTCTGTCAAAGTTGATGAGCTGACCTTGACAGGTCCAGTTCCTGGTGAACTCATGCTGACTTCTAGTGATTGCTGCTTCCTTTTTATTATTAACACAAGCTATTTTTTCAATCTCCAAAGCTATCATCTCAAGACTTCTAAAGGAAGAAAATAGGGGGCATCTCACCTATATCAGTCTATCAAAGATCCACTTTTTTCAGCTCAGTTCTTTCATTAATCTTAGAGTATGTATATTGAGGTTTTAAAAGCCCTTCTAACGCTGCAGACCTCTGAAACAAACATTGGAAGAAAAACCCTACCCAGCATTTTCTTGGGAATGAGACCACATCTTATTTGACCTTAATCCAATGCTGCTGGAATAAGATTTGACACATAATAGGCCCTTGTATTAGTCCCCTATGGCTGCTGTAGCAAAGTACAAGTACTTTGTAAGTACAAAGTGAGTGCTTAAAAAAAAACAACAGAATTTTTTTTGTCCATAGTTTAGAGGATAGAAGTCTGAAATCCAGGTGTCAGCAGAGCCGTGCTCCCTCTGAGACCTGCAGGGGAACACTTTCTGCCTCTTCCTCGCTTCTGGAGGTTTTTCTGGCAATCTTTGGCATTTTTTGACTCATAGAAGCAGCCCTCCAATCCTCCGTCTTCACTTGGCACTCTCCCTGTGTCTGTGTGTTGTCACATGCTGTCTTCTCACGGGGATACCACTCATATTGGGTTAAGGGCCCACCCCACTCTAGTATGGCATCACATTCACATCTGCAATGACCCTGTTTCCAAATAGAGCCACATTCTGAAATTCTGAAAGTTAGGACATCAACATATCTTTGGAGGGACGTAACTGGACCTCTAGCAGCCCTAATTAATATCACTGAAATGATAAAGAGAGCACAAATTAAAGAGTTACATGCTGAGAGGGGCCAAAAAAATGACACTCTCTTACCGTCTATTTGTTTTTCTTTCTGTTGCTCCAAACTGCAGCCCATTTCTGCATTGTCTTTTCAACAGCTGGCTAACAGATGAGAATTCTTTCCAGATAACGCCCAGGATTCTTAGCACTTTTAGCAAAGACCAGAATGTACACAAAATCTGAAGAACTAAATCTTGAGTTGGGTGACTTCGGGGAATCATTTTGTTTGGTACATGGCCTAGACCCCTTAAATCCAATGTAGGAAGATTGTACCTGGTCCTGGAACGCTAAACCCTAGAGTTTTATGGAAAAGTTCAAAGTGAATGATCTCTGGGTCAGTTACCTAGTCATTTCTTTGAGTAGGAACTCTCTTAACCTCTTAAGGCATATTAGTAGCCTAAGCAGAGTGAGTCACCAAAAAAAGAAGGTGCATAAGAAGAAGTGTCTAGCTCGTGTTGCTTTACAACTACATTTTAGTAGATACCTTCTCTTTCCTTCCTTTTTTTTCTCTTTACCTTCCAGACTTGAGGCGGCACTCTTACGAATGTGGAGGCTGTAGGAAACAAGCTGTTAAAGAGCAGTGCTAGTGTTCTCTCTATGAGCATAGGGAGCTCAAGGCAGCACTGTTCTGGGACCAAGTGGCAGAGAGGAACCCAAAGAGGGAGCTACACCCACTTTGGTGCCCTGAGTTCTCCAGAGATGTCACCCAATGTCCAAACCAGTCCCTGGACTATAGCGTTGAAGTCAAGGGAAAGATATTTAAGTTTTGTTTTGGAGGCTTCAGCTACAGACCTCTAAAGAGGGTCTAAAAATAGTTAAGAAGACCGAAGGTGTAAATAAAAGGGAATTAAAACCAGTAGGTTCAGGAGTACATATGGATTGCCTCTCCGTATTCATAGAAATAATTCAAAGACTTAACATTCCACAAAAGTGGGTGAGAATTACATGCAGGGAACTACTGTGTATGTCCATTATTGAGATCTAGATTTACCCCAAGATCAGTGTGGCCTGGAGCATAGAATTATAGAATACGAAATAACTGTGGCCCCTGAGGTACAGTGGCATCTCCAAGTTTTGTAGCTACTTGAGTCTAGAACTGAGAATGAAATCCACAATTCTTGGATCCTCCATGTTTCTTGGATAATGCTGGATTCTTCAAACATTCCTCCCACATGCTGATGTCACCTAAACCTGCAAGACTACTTCATGCTTGTAAACAAGAGTCAATCTTTAGCTTTTAAAAGATTAAAGGAATTTTCAGAATCTTTCTGAGACCAAATTTGATGAGTAATGGACTACACACTCGGAAAAATGGAAAAAATAACGTGAAGAAAATCAATCATGTTTTCTACACAAAAGCGGAGAGTCAATCAAAGTTTACATTTTTTTTTTTCAGTGTCTTCTTTCTCTTGATTTGGTTTATTTAGTGATGGGTGCCCTCAAAATCTATCTTCTCTGGAAAATAAAACTAAAAGTAAAACAAAATTTTACTGTTTGCTGAAGCATTTTACTGCATCTATCTATTAATTAACACTTTATATCAGTTTCTTATAATTATTAAAGAAAACCAAAACTATTAATTTAAGAGATGGTAGTATTTTTGTAAGATAAAGTAGCTTGGCTCATACTCTAGAAACTAACTTATCTAAGCTGCCATTGAAGCATTTCTGGAGGACAGTGGTTTTGGCTAGATGTTTTTCAGGTTTCTCTCTTTTACCTGGACATTCTGTAGCCTTGGTGTGGTGTATCTTGGTATAGATTTTTATATATCCTTTTTAGATTTCATATATATTTCTTGGATTTTCTAGGCTTCATGGATGTGTAGATTTGCATTATTTGTCAATTTTTACAAAAATCTTGGCTT